ACCGCGGCGGTGCGCAGCGGCCAGGTGGGTCCTCGGAGCGCGTGGGCGGGCGGCGGGACCCCATGCCCCGGGATGACAGTGTCCGGGGTCAGCCCCCCGACGCCGGGGCCAAGGCGGGAGGTGGGACCCGCCTGTCAAAAGGAGCATCCGCGGGCCGCCAGGACCCTGCCCGTCCGGACGGGAAAGTGAGCGCCGGGGGCCCCGCTTCCAGTGTTTGAGGTCTCGGGTAGCCCAGGCTGGCCTTCGGCTGCCGCATCGGACCCCCCCACCTCCCGCCTGACTCGGTTCTTGGAAACGGTCACGTTCCCGAGTACGAATTCGTGGAAGGTCTGGGGCTCTCTTGCTGGGGATGAAGCGTTTGCCTTGTGTCTGTAAAGCCCTGACCATCCCCAATACCATCGATGGCCCTTACCACACACCTCCCCCCCAAAAAAAAGGGTGGACAGGGGAGATTGAAAAACAGATCACAGGAAGTTAACTTCGGTGGCAGTTTCCTCTTTTTTTAATTTTTTTGAGACAGGGTCTCACTATTCACCCATGCTGTCCTGGAACTCACAGAGATCTGCTTGCCTCTGCCTCCTGAATACTGGGATTAAAGGCGGGCGCCAATACCTTTTCCTTTCCAATACCTTTCTCCGCTCCTCCTCCCTCCTTCCTTCCCTAGGCCTACATTCAAAGCAAAGGGTTGGTGTAGTGTGAGGCGTGGCAAAGGCCCTTTCTACATATTCCAGAGCCCACCTGGATCCTTGTGGTTTTTTGGTTTCTGATTTAGGACGGGGGCACTGGACAGTGGCATGCCCAGTCTCAGGTTCCTTCCACACCTTCTCCAGTCTTTCCTGGAGATCATAAAATCTTAGAGGCTCCTGGTAGCCCTGTTCCTAGGCATCCTGAAGGCTGAAGCCTCCCATGCACCCCCATGCAACCCGGGGACGGTACGGACTCTCCTCTCTAGTCCACGCTTCCTTCAGCATGGAGGCACCCATGAGTAGTTTTGGAAGTGAGGGAGCTCAGAGAGGTGATAGTTGGGGACAGCAGGATGTAGAAGAGACTGTAGACTTAACTATTGACAAGGGCAGGAGCAGAGAAGCTGAGAGACACCGCTCTGAGGACTTCCCGTGTCCTGTCCCAGGCACCTTACTAGGACTCATTGAGCAACCTCCTGGTTATATCGCGGTGATAAGGCCTGAGACTTCGCCCCAGGCCCCTAGACGTCTCTCATTTCTCCACCTTGATGCACAACAATTTCATTTAAGACCAAGGACAGCCTGGGCAACTCAGTAAAACTTCATTTCAAAAAGAGCAAAAGGAGCCAGGGTGAGGGTACACGGTTTAATCCCAGCATTAGGGAGGCAGAGGCAGGTGGATCTCTGAGTTGGAGGCCAGCCTGGGCTACAACAGCCTTGTCTATGTATCCTGCATAACAGCTTAGATGCAAGATTGTATCTGTAGCGAACTTCTGCCCTCCAGGGTTCTCCCATTGTGCTTTAAGCCTGTATTCAAGACCTCCTCCCTCCTTCAATAAAGGACATTCCGCATTAAAAACAACAAGAAACTGGGGCATGGTAAGGCCTAGAATCCCCAGTGAGGGGCAGGGGCGTGGTCAGGGTGGAGCCCCGCCCAGAATCCCCAGTGAGGGGCAGGGGCGTGGTCAGGGTGGAGCCCCGCCTAGAATCCCCAGTGAGGGGCAGGGGCGTGGTCAGGGTGGAGCCCCGCCCAGAATCCCCCAGTGAGGCCTTGGGGGCGTGGCTCAGCTGAAGAACATTAATTTAGGATATCCAAGGGCCTGGCTTCATCCCCAGTATTAGATGGAAAAAAAGATGAGCACAGCCCCAAGGTAGAATTAATTTTTCAATGTTAGGATGGTGTGAAAGTGACACAAACATGATGTGAACCTCATCTGTCCCGGACCAGTGACATGGAATAAGCAGATGCCCCCAGTCAGATCTTATGTCAGACTGATACCAGGACGACACTGTAGGGCGCCATGTGGCTGTGGTGATGTTCTTTGGGTTCTGTGGATGACATGCCTTTCGACATAGGAGATATGCATATGTATATGGTGGAGTGTGTGTGTGTGTGTGTGTGTGTGTGTGTGTTTGTGCATGCGCTCGAGCACCACCTGCCTACAAGAGCCCCAGGAAGTCAAAGGGGGGTCTTGTGCCCTGGAACTTGAGTCACAGCAGTTGTGAGCTGCCATTTGAGTGCAGGGAACCGAACCCCAGCCCTATGCAAGATCAGTAAGTGCTCTGAAGCGGGGCGCCATCGCTTCAGCTTTTATCTTTTACTTTTCATTTATGTTGCAGTAGGACTTGCTGTGTGCACACTCGTTATTCCCTCGGTTGCTCAGGCGAGTGTCAAACTCAGCAGTTGTCCTGCCTCGGTCTCCCAGGCGTTAGAGCTGCAGGTGTGGGTATCCAGGTTTAGTGGTTTATTGGGCAGAATCACACTGTAAATCAGAACATCCGGATGTTCCTGTACATTCCATCCCTCCTGCTTTTTCTCTCTCTTTTATAAGGCAACCAGAAAGTTTGAAACTACGTATTGGCTCTCATGGAGTTCTAGAGGTTTCCATGACATTTATTCCATCAGCAAATGTGTGGTGAATAGCTCCTTTTGGGGGGTAGGTTGTGACAGGGTCTTCCTGTGTAGCCCTGTCTGTCCTGGATCTCGCTCTGTAGCCCAGGCTGGCCTCGAACTCACAGATCTCCTGCCTCTGCTTCCCAGTGCTGGCTTGGGCATGTAATCATTATTTTTAAAGCGCGGCATATTACTGTGTGGTCTGGCTTGGCCCAGAGCTCTCATTCAAGCAGTCCTCCTGCCTCAACCCCCTGAGGAGCTGGGAACAAAAGCTGCAGACATGATGGAGTTCACGGTGACTGGAGCAGAGCCTCTCGCCAAGTGACTGCGTGGCCAGGAGCTCACACCGTGGCCCCGGCCGACCTGAACTCCCCATCCTCCTGCCTCAGCTCTGCTGCTGTCGCAGCAGCATTTTGGGTTCATGGTGTAACTGACTGGAGTGTAGGTCTTGGCTCCACAGTGACCTGTGTCTGTGGCCTCACAGGGAGGCCTCCGGGCGCTGGGGTCTGCGGCTGGAGTTTAATCACGCCTCCTCCCCTGGGGCAGCAATGGGGAGGGCCTTGGTTTGAACCTTAACGAAATTTGCATTTCTCCATCTATTGATTTATTTAATTTGGTGGGAAGAGGTTAGAGGAGGGAGGAGCCTGGCCTCTCCTTCTCCGCGTGTTCCTGTGGACTCGGTTCCTCAGGCTGTGGCGGCGTCTTCACCCACAGAGCCAGCTCACTGGCCCTGATTGAGTTTTCCTCCCCGGCTCCATGTTGGAACCCAAGACACGTTGCTGTTACTCATCTCTCAGGAAGCTGCAGGCTGCCCTTCAGAGGCCAGGCGTGGTGGGGCAAGCCTGCCAGCCTAGCACTGGAGGTAGAGGCAGGAAGGTCAGGTTCACGGCCAGCCTGGGCTACACAAGACCCAGGAGTGCCAGTTCTTTACCGGGTGGGATGGCCCAGCTCACATGCACACTTCCTGAATGACCTCCACACTCCGAAAGTCCCTGTGGGTCATCTCTCCAGTCAGCGTCCCCTGCGGTGGGAATCCCCTCCACTCAGAAAGTGGGGTTCCAGCAAGGGAAGTTCCTGGGAATCCCCGCAGTTGGGAATAGGTCTGGATTTCCCAGAATGCCCGACCTGAAGTTTCTTAACCAGAAAGGGCAAAACCTGTCGGAACAGGAGGATTCTATACAGCGTAGTCCCGCCGAGGGTGTGCTTCTCCTTGCTGAGGATCATCTTACGGTTGGTTCCTCCTCCTTTTCCCTTTTTACCCCAGTGGAACTGGGATGTGGAACCCTGAACACCTGCCAGCCAAACACTTACCCCAGACCACGCCCCCAGCCCTCACTGGGGATTCTGGGCGGGGCTCCACCCCGACCACGCCCCCAGCCCCTCACTGGGGATTCTGGGCGGGGCTCCACCCTGACCACGCCCCCAGCCCCTCACTGGGGATTCTGGGCGGGGCTCCACCCTGACCACGCCCCCAGCCCTCACTGGGGATTCTGGGCGGGGCTCCACCCTGACCACGCCCCCAGCCCCTCACTGGGGATTCCAGACTGGGGCTCCACTCCTGAGCCGAGTCCCCAGCCCTGGTTTACCTTTTGATTATTTGAAGATACATTTTTCC